ACTGCAATTAAACAGAAATGTTTCTTTGTGATCTTCCAGATAGTTCAGATTTTTTAGGCTGAATCCAACTTAGATGTACAAATGAATCACTTTCGTAATTATTAACAACTATAATAATCCTAAAACCATTATGTAAGGGTGTTACTCTGGTGTCTTGACTAAATGTAACTATGCAATCCCACAATCTGTCCACACTTCTCTGTGTTGTCTGCTGTGCAGTGGAGCTGCTGTTCAAACTGGCTGATAGGCCTTGTTCAGGTGGGTACTGTGCTAAACATAGACCCCTGCTATGTTTAAACTGCTTCCTTGTCCTTTTTGCCTTTTGGATAAATTTACTACACAAATGCAAGGAGTTAATATTTTAGTAACATTTTGTCTGAAATTGGCCAAATTTCAAGTCAACAGGTGCGGCTTTTCCTGTGACGCCTGTAGTTTGGAGTTTGCCAAAACATTATCTTACTCTTGTCAACCTTCTGAGCTTAAGCAACAGCCCCATTCCCATGTGTTAGATCCTCTAGGATGATGCCTTGTATGTTTGAGTTGATTGACCGAGCCATCTTTGAGCAGGAGCGCAGGAGGACAAATGTGGTTGAAGCAGCTTTTGAGGTGCAGGTCAGAGGCAGCTTGAGCTGTACATACAGTCTAGCAGGTTTTCATTAAATTGTTATTGTAGCTGGCAACACAAAATGGTGTCTTTGAGTGTTAATGGTGTACAAGCTAGGAAGATGCCAGATTTGGAGTTAACTGGTCGAGCAGTATTAAACAGCAGGGGTTAATGTCACAGACTGTACTGGCAATGGTGGGGGAGGCGGCAGCAGCAGCACTATCGGCTTGATTTATACAGGAACCGGTTTTCAAATATATCCTCCCTGCTGGTGCTGGAATTGTACCTCTAAGGTTTTGAGTTAATTGGTCGTCATTTTCAAGCAGCGGAAGATGGTCTGTGTTGCTCAGAACGGTTTATTACGCTTTAGAGGCGTAAAAATGAATGCACCAACTTTTCATGTGTGAAAATCTCAGAACTTCAGCTGTTAGTAGTCTGCCAAGTTTCAGTTTAATCGGTGTGGCAGTTCCTTAGAAGACTTTGAAAAAGTTTTCCAGGCCAGGCGGCCCACTTGGTTGGCACGAGACCCACATTTCTGTCTTATCTTTCCTGGTGCACCTGTCTATAATATAACATTCCCAGGCTGCCTGAGATTTGAACATAAGCCGTTTAAAAGTACCCCAAAAAAAGTTAACAATGGAAATGTGATTCTAGCCACTGCCTGGACATTTTGTGTATCATTATTTTCAGCAGTTTAAAATGATCTACGGGAGCCCGACTTCATAGCAGCTTATAAATACTGAGAAAATAAGGCCCAAGTGAGTTTCAAGCTGAGCCTTTTGGTTGATCGTGGATGAGCAGTACCCAATATCGGCATTTTCTGTCCATTGCTACTCAAACATGAAAAAGCAGCTCTAATAACACTAGAAGCACTTGCTGGTCTATACTGGAGTGTCTCTGCAGTCGCAAAAGAAGCACTGAGATCTTATGAAACAAATATAAATAGGAAAACCAAGTAAATATTCATCATTTAATCATTAACTGCCCTGAAGAGCTGCGTCATAACTATAAATCACTTGGCAACTGGGCTGAAATGATTCATGCAGCTTATTGATAAGTACAGGTAGTGGACAAACATCTGGAAGCGCCTATTAGCCACGTTCTTAACCAGAAACCAAGGTGCGAAAGTTTGGAGAGGACTGGTCAATTCCCAGTGGAGCTGATGGAGGCCCAGAGCACAGAGGTGGGGAATTGAGCGGGCTCTTGCCACAGCTCACAGCTCCCTCCTCCCACTGCATGTGGCCTCCTGGTCTGGGGTTTCGGTGACCGTCCTCACGGTTCCCATGCGTGCCCTGGGACTTGTGTCTCGCTGTGGTGACTGAGGGCCGTGCCTGGAGGATTTCAGTGGCTTCAGCTCAGCCTTCCAGTGTGGGGGCTTTCGTTTCAATCAGATTGATTCCAGAGCAGCAGTAACTTTGACAGCTTTGCCAGACTCATAACTCACTGTTCTCAATCAAGTGTTTTTAGTGCGTAATGCAGTTTTATTATAACATCACTTGAGTTAAATTCTACGCTTTGAATTGTATACACTAACACTTTGTCTGCCTTTTTTTATTGCTTCCCTACTGTATCTAGAAGACGTAAATGATGCGTCAACATAAATGCCTAAGTTTGTTTTTGTAAGTATACTTTTCATGCTCAGTGTTTCCCTTTTTGCATCTTAAGTTTGTTTTCGGTACGTGCATATAGCACTCTGCACTTGTCTGCGTTTTAAGGTCATCTGCCATGCATTTACTGTCTTAGATTGTACGGAACCTACATCTGTTTGAATTTCCGTTTTTTTTGCTAATCCTTCTGTCTGGGTGTGGTCTGCGAACTTGGCAAGTTTCCTCATGAGTTGGAACTTATTTGCTCTCATTGCGTTTCGCCCATCTTGCATCTGGTTTGGTTTTGTGCATGTGAGCAAATCAAGCTTTTGGAATAAGTAATGAAACCAGCTTGTATTAAAACATCAGATACAAGTGCACTACATATAAAGAAAAAATATTCAACTTCTCTGAGTGTGAAACTGTGTCTCCGTGGGTCTGAAGTCTTCTGTTGCGCAGGTTTCCACTGACAGATGCAGGCCCGAGCTAAAAATGTAGCGAAGAAAATGGTGATGCGTTCGGTGAAATGCACAAAGGGGACTGGAAAAGAATGTCAAAAAAACTAAAAAAGGCCGAGTTGAAACGGCAGCTGAGACGAGCCAGCCTGCTCTAGCGAAGGCACCCGTTAGAGAGCTGAGGAGTCGCAAGAGAAAGCTGCCTGGCTAATGCCCAGCCTCTGTGTTTCTTCAGCGCTGCCTGGAGGGTGTGTCACACTCGGTCAGCGACGGGCACCCAGGCCGCAGGGGATGGACTTGAATTTTGGTCTTTGATTTCTCTTTGTCTTCAGCGATGTAAAGAGCAGGAAGACTGGGCTACGCTGGGAAGTGTCTTCAACAGCGTGTGCGGCACCAGCGGGAGTCTCGCCAATCTCAACAGATTCTGTGCTTCTGTTGCTTCTGCACTTTTGAAAGACCTTGAGAGAACTCCACTGGTTCCTTTCTGTAAATTTGTCGAGACAGGTGTGTTGGTTTTCTTTATTTATGTAAAAATGTTTCTCCTCTGTATATACTGTATAATCTACTTTGAGTAGCAGTTACTTCGTTTTTAAAGTTTTTGTTACCGTGTTTGTTGTTTTATTTACCAGTTATGTCACGCTTGTTCTTTATAGCGACAGGAGTTTTTACGTAAAGGGAATAATTTATCAATTGTTTTCAAAATGGTCTTTCCAGTTTGTCAAGAAGGCCGAATAAATGAGCTGGGCAGAACTTTGCTTGGAAGAATTGGAATTTCTGTGATGTTTGGGTACCACAAAACACAGCAGTGGACAAAGGTAGGCTAAGCAGTGTGGTAAGAGCACTGCCACAGAAAGGGCCTCTTGGTGTCCATCAGGTGCCGCCAGGCAAGTGGATTGAAGGATTGACTTCATGTAGGCCTTTGTTTGATTAGGCAAGTAGAGATTAGGCACTAGAAGGTGTAACTACAGTAGTTTTTCTGCTCAGTTGGGCATGTGAACAGTTTTCATACTTGAGCACTTTTTTTATTCATATTCTCCTGCTGGTGAACAGTAAAGATGACAGTCTCTTTTAGGGGGAGTTTTAAAAACTTTATTGGATCACACACAGTACATATTGACTTATCCATGTTTATGTTTCTTGTTTATAACGAACTCGGTGTCTCTAAGAAAATGTCTTTGGCGAACATTTGTCTTTCATGTTTCGGCGTGAGAGATTGGTACCGATTTATTTTCTTTCCCGCCGAGAAGTTTTCTTTTCCTGGGGATGAAGGAACTGTTGTAATAGGACGGGTAACAGTAATGCTCTGTTCAACAGGGTCGGAAATTGTTGGAAGCCTTAAACGGAATGAAGATCAACTTTTTTACGCTCAAAGGACTCCTGGGGCATGAGCGCCACGTGTCCCTGTGCCAGGTTGTGAACGTTGCAGCAGATATCTACCTCAACACTGGGAGTGTGGAAGGCGCCATAAACGTATTGAAAGGTGGTGCTTCTGCTGATGCATTCATGTTTTAACCGTGACTAATTCTGGCAGC